TCGAAAATGCTTTACTGCCCACACTATTGCTGCTAATTCTTTCTCAGTGGTGGAGTAATTTCGTTCAGCCTTATTTAAAGTTCGGCTGGCGAATGCTATCGGTCGATCACTATTAATCTTGCCCTGAGACAAAATGGCACCAATTGCATAATTACTAGCGTCGGTGGTGATAATGAATTCTTTGGAAAAATCTGGATACTGGAGTACAGGCGGAGAGATTATGCTTTTTTTCAAAGTTTCAAAAGAAATGCCGCATTCATTATTCCATAAAAACTTTTCATCTTTTTTTAATAGCTTGGTAAGTGGCTTAGCAATTTTTGCAAAGTCCTGAATAAATTTCCTGTAATAGCCAACCAGTCCTAGGAATGACTTTATATCTTTGGCGTTTTTAGGTTGAGGGAATCTTGATACGCAGTCCACTTTTGCGGGATCGGGTTTAATACCGTTTTCAGTGATAATATGACCTAGATATAAACATTCTTTGCGTAGAAATGAACATTTTGAAGGTTGAAGTTTCAAGTTATGCTGCCTAAATCTTTGAAATGCTTCGGTTAATCTGTGATTATGTTCTGTCAAATTATTCGCATAAATTACTATGTCATCTAGGTAAATAAAACATTTTAACCCATTAAGGCCGCTTAGGACAGTATTCATTAACCGTTGAAAGGTTGCAGGGGCTCCCTTCAATCCGAATGGCATTCGATTGAAAACGTAGTGTCCGGTCTGAGTACTGAAAGCAGTTTTTAATTTATCGTTATCATCCAATTTCACTTGATGAAACCCATTGGCCAAATCCAGGGTGGTGAAATATTGGGCTTGTCCTAACTGGTCAAGGATATCAGTGATATTAGGTAGGGGAAACGCGTCAGCTCCTGTGGTTATATCGTTAATTTTTCTGAGATCTACGCATACGCGGTACTTTGGTTCACCCGAGGGATCGCTCTTTTTTGGTAACACTAATAGAGGACTATTCCAAGGGCTACACGACGGAGAAATTATACCATCATTCAGCATTTGATCCGTTTGTTCTTTTATTATTTCACGATGTTTGAATGGTAATCTGTAGGGTTTAGTATTAATTGGTCCCTTAGAAGGATCTGTGGGTATATTATGTTGGACCGTGTTTGTACAAGAAAGTTTATCACCGTCTAAATGAAAGATATCATTATAAAGGTTGCAGGCTTCTAGTAGCGAATTAGTTTCTTCATTGTTAAGTCCTTCAAGATTCAATGATTTTTTTAATTTTTCTAAACGTTCGAGTTGGCTCATACTATTTATTTCTGTAATATCCACATTATTTTGGATGAAAGGCTCCACACTAACTCTAGGCATGGTTATTGTAAAATCTTCGTCTGAAATATTCAAAATACTGACAAAACATTTGTAATTTTTAACTTTGGTCAATGTAGTCCCTAAATATAGCTTGTCAGATATTTGTTTTGGTTTTACAATCCCTTCGGCATCTGGCATATTCGCCAAAGCGGAAATTATTGTTTCGCATCTTGCAGGAATAATTACGAATGTTTCAGAAGGTAACAATTTAAAATGGTTGTTTTCAAAGTTAACACTTTCCTTTTCGTAATCGATTTTAGCTTTATACTTTTGTAGAAAATCACGTCCTAAAAGACCGTCGTTTTTAATTGATGTGCTATCAGAAATGACGTGAAATTCGTGTTTCAAGGTTTTTTCATTTTCTAGTTTAATTGAAATAAAACAGGTACCCAAAGTGTAAATTGGTTGCTCACTAATACCCTTCAATTCTACGATTATTTCCTTATTGATTACAGAGTCATCTTCTATTCTACCTGCTTTTAAGAGGGACACGTCTGCGCCCGTATCCAATAAAAGTCGAACAACTGAATTTTTTATATTTGAAGAACATATTTCAATCACATCTAATTGTTTATAATTTTCGGAAATCATAATGGTTTTACGCGACGAATTTAATTTATTGTTGCTTGAATTGTTACTATTTGATGTGTTTGGAGAAGAAAATGATAATTTATTATTTGAACAGCTATTGTAATTTTTAATCACCATAGTCGGCTGTTCGCGGTCATGGCTGTTCACTCGTTTCCCGAAAAATTTTCTTGGGATGAGGCACTAGGTAATGAGGGGGGATTATTGACTGAATTGTTTTGGGTCGAGATTTGCGATTGAATGGTTTGCACTTGTGAAGTAAATGAATCACGTGCCTGAGGATTTTGCTGATTTGGGAGATACGAACCATTATTTCGTTCGTACGAATCTCTTTGTTGCCTAGGAAAGTTTTGGTCATGTGCATTTTCAATGGGATAATTTCGTTGATTATTAAACTGGCTTTGATTGTAGTAATTGTTGGAATTGAATCGTCTAGAGTTTTGATTTTGGAATCTTTGGTACGAATGATTTTGTTGGTAATTACGACCGTAGTTATTATAACCACTGGAAAAAGGACGATCTATATTGTTATTTGGCGTTGGTAAATAGGAATTATTTCTTGAAAAATTGTGATTGCTCTGATTTGAATTAAAATTTCTTTGTCGAGAAGATGAAAATTGTTCGTTTCTCGGTTGACTTTGTTCAAAATTACGGAGTTGTCTACATTGCGACGTCAAATGATTATTCATATTACAAAACATACACAAAGTTTGACTTGAACCTTGATTAAAATTAAAATTTCTATTTCCATGATTTTGTACAACATTCATATTTCTATAATTTTGATTGTTTTTCATTTTATCATATTGCTCAAGCTCAAGCTCTATTGCTACTGATATAACTCTTTCTAAATTTGTGGTATTCTCCGCAACTATGCGTAATTGAGTTTTTTCGTCCTGAAGACCTTTCCTAAAATTAGTTACTAGTAATAATTGCAAATTTTCTATTAGTACTTTAGCTTCATTTGGAATATAATTCAAGTTACAAGTTTCTTTATATTTGTTAAAAATTTTTTGGATACGATCACCGTATTCTTTAATACTCTCTCTATGATTTTGTTTTATATTAGTTAATAAATTTAAAAAATAAGAAGGAGGTCTCTTATCTGTGAATTTTTGTATCAAAAAGTCTTTAATTTCCTCCCAGTTTTCAAATTCTTTATATTGTGTTACCTCTTGTGCCTTCCCTTTCAATTTAGTTGCGAAAATTAATTCAGCTAAGTTAGCCTTTTCTGTGTCCTTTACGATTTTCATCATCGCATCACAGCTTTTTAGAAAAAAATTTAGTGAATTAGCATCACCTTGCCCATCAAAAGGATCAATTTGATTTAAAACGTCAAATGCGTCTTTACCAGCCATTTTTGCTCAAAATTTATATGTAATTTAAAAAAATTTGATTATGTTACGTTCAATCGATAAATAATTGTTATTTGCAGTACCTATCTAAAATATAATAATTTTTGATAATAATATTCACGTTCTGTTTGTATAATAATACGTGTTTAATAAAATCTTATTCCTAACTTAACAAAAAAGTTTTGAAGAAAATAGCGTCACACAGAAAACAAAGAAAGGACTTACTTGTTCATTTCCTGGGATTGGAAACTAGTTGTCGATCTTCTGCTGCTACAGTCCGCTGCGTCTTCGCGCTCCTGCAAACCAGTTAACAGTTGCTCTCTGCTTGCCGAGGAAACTTGCTGCATCTGGGCGCGCCTTCAAATAGCCCCAGGACTTTTCTTCCGGAAAGGGTGTTGATGCGTACTAGGCGCTCCTGCGAGCAACACCACGAAATCCCACCACTGCCACCAATGTTAGGAGTTGAGCCACAAGAACTGTGACTTTTATCCCAAATATACCTACACTAGAATTAAAACTATATCTTTTGATTTAATAAAAAAGGTTTCGTTTATTTGTGAAAATTTATAAGTTTTGGGAAGGACACTTTGTCAGTTATGAGAGGTAACTTTAGATGTTGTCAGAGTCAAGATGGAATTCTGAATGTCTTCTCGTCTTCTTTCCTGAAAGAAGGAAACGTCCTGGAACCTCCTTCGAAAGGGCGGGAGTTCCTCTAGTTATTCACTGAAAGTACCTTAACGCTATTTTACAGATGTTACTTATATTGGTGCTAAAATATTTAATGATTTGGGATTTTTTTGGGAAGTTTATACAATAATAAAAACTAAACCCTATTCGGGCACGTAAATAGTTATTGGACATCATTCCGACAATTTAACAGTTTATGAAAATAGAGGGATATAAAACAAGGGTCCGAAAGGTAAAGCCATATTGAGCCGACAAGGCATGGTCAGGCCTCTCTGCAAAATACATAGTAAATATAATAGAAAATTAGAGATATAATTAAATGTTCCTATAATCACTGTGTTATCTTATTGGTTCATAACACAATGTTCTTCAGAATTTGTTACCTGTTTTCTGTAAATAGTTGTAAATAGTCGTTTTTCGTTCAAATTAAAATAAAACCACTTTTCATAATCGCACCATTGTGTTTCCTTGAACCTGGATTTACGAACAAGAATTAGCACGGCATTGGCAGCATTCTACCACAGATTCTACTCTTGAAAAATAAATAAATGTTGGAAACCACAACAGTGTAGATCATGGTCGTTTATCCCGGTTGCCAAATTATCAAAATGATTCGCTTTTTAGTTCTCCATAAACGTCTAATACGCCATCCACCGTGGGACACCCTGTATACTGTTTTGGTTTCATTTATAGAAAGTTTATTTTTGCATAACCATTTATAATACAGGTCTAAGTCCTCATTTGCACTTTTCTCAAGAGTTTTTGGGTCACTATGTGATAGTATAAGCACAGTGTCATCAGCGAACATAAAGTATCTTGATTTAAGTTCCAAATATTTCAGGCTGTGGACATACAAAAGATACTGTATTGTCTTGGTATCGCCGCTTTGTGACCTTTTCAGATTTAATCTTGTCGTTTATGTGAAGGAGCAAAATTTTCATGAAATGATAGTTGTCAAGAAGCTTTTCAAAAGTTCAAGAAGGTGTGAACCTATGCTTGATTATATTAAATTTTCTTAAAAACAAAGACGAAACAACTTTAATTTTTCAGTATCCTTTATTTACAAAGCAAGAAGAACACAAGCACTGAAAGGCTATAAGTAAAATGGAGGCACCTCAAAAAACCCTTGGTACATTTTCCAAAGTTTCCGCAAGGGCCATTGAAATAACAAAGAAAAAATATATTACCTATCTATTCACAATCTGTAGTCCAAAGGTACAGGTAAAATTTATCACCTTTCAATGCTATTTGATAGGGAAAGGTGATAGATTTATCTGCACCTTTGAACTACAAATTGCGAATAGGATATATTTAAAAATAATCCACAAACATAATAAAAGCGTCTGGGTGTTCATAACCTACGAAACTAATTATTACGTTATCGTTTAATAATAATATTAATCGTACCTCACTTGAGTTAATATTTACACAGTCAACTTTTTACAAACTGACACTCCAAACAGTGTCTTGAGATAGAGAGAGAGAGAGTGAGTGATTAGTAGAGAAATAATAAGCTGCTTTTAATACCAGAAATTATTTTATTATAACTAAAGGTCTGTTCACACAACAATTGTGACAACAGACCTTTAAGTAATATTTAGAAGAGGCGGCAACAATCCCGCCTGTTTTTTTTTACATAAAGCTGCACACTCTCCCTGATTCCTAGTTGTGTGCGAGTTGCCTATTATAAAAATTATTACTCTCTAACCTAACTTTTTGTCACATTTTTTTTTTACAGAAAGTTTACTCAATATGGATCGGATGGATGCGTACATAATAATAATTTTAACACCATTTACACTTTTGTTATTATAACTACTAAATTGTGCTGTATTTAAATCGGGTTTCGCTACTTTAACTTTTAAATATTACTCCTATTATAAGACAAGAGGTCTGTTCCCACAGGAGTCTCTGACAGTTTGCAAACTGTCAGTAAGCATCGCCCATACATGTTTACAAGATAAATCTGTAACTCAGCTGAGCGATTGTTGCAAACTTTCAGAAACTCCTGTGGGAACAGACCTTAGGACTATAAAAACAAAAAATATAATCTTTTTGTCAACTCGATTTACTACTGTCAATTGTCAATCTGTCAATCTTGGCATCATACTTAAATCGAGTCAACCTCAAAACAAAAAATGCACTACAAACTATTCTGCTATTTGATTTTTCCTAAAATTACCATTGTTTTTTTTGGCGGCAAAAGAGACAGAGACAAAAAATTTGAGTATTATTTGTTGTCTCCTTCTAGCCACCACAAAGTTCTATATATTCATTAACAACAGAAAAATAAATAAAATAAAATCGATTATCACACAATTAAAATTACGTCATTGTCCTGTTTTGCACTAGTTTTATAGCTAAAATATATATTGCACATGCAAATCACGGTAAAATCACATTACGCGCTGTTGCCAAATCGAAGTGAATCCTCCTCTAAATTATAAGGGTAGGTTTTTCTTTTATCCGACAGTTAACTATTGATTGCACATATTTGATGACAACTATACTAATGGAACTTGCCCTTAGAGTCATGTTATCCTTTTAACTAACTGACAATGGATAATGTGACCCTTAAACCCGTTTATATTTCAATGTACTTTTGGGCTGGTTTTCGCATTAAAGGTTTAGCTTGATGCCAAAAACAACAGTCAGTGAAACTTTGAAAGATAAGCATTATGATGTTAAATGCATTTTACACCTGTCATTGACTAAAAACCAACCCTTAATGCTATTTAAAAGTAACTTATTCCTCTTATATGTTTGTTTGCATCTTAAACTAATCTAACGGATTGTTGTGCGCATGTCGGTACTCATCAGTAACCATTAGGCTCTGAATTGTTAGGAGCGGCCGGACTCGGCTGTTGCGAGCCCCCTCTACCGTGAGAACTTTCATATTCCATAACTTCCTGGTAGATGAGCTCTTTCCATTGTTCCACAGTGTGTTCGCGTTCGTCTACGCTGTGGTCGTACGGGCCTGGCGCAGGCTACAATTGACATATGAATTAAACGTCATTTATTTCATTGACAGTTCAATTAGTACTGGTACTTACCGCGTTTACTTCTTGTTCGTCGTACCACACATTAATGTACGGGTGCAAAAGGGCCTCGTCCACCGATATCCGGCTTTGCGGATCGATCACTAGCATTTTTGATAGTAAATCACGAGCCTGGCCAGCCTAATAAAATAAATTGATTGTCAAAATAATGTTGATCTGTCAAATTTCTATTTTTTAATGTAAACTCACCTTAAGCCTATTATGTTCGTTACTGTCCGAAGGGAACAAAACGTCGGGGAATAATTTTTCAAATGAAAATCCAGGATACCTCGGCCTGTTTTCTACATAATTTCGCACCGTGGGCTGGAGCCTGACCATGAATTGTTGAGACGGAGTACCCAATTGTTCTGGAAACGAATTTATCTTACACAAACTGTCAATTGGTAAAAAAATATGTATTTCTGTCTTGTTCTTTCACAGGCCAATAGCAAAAGATGCAACTATAGACTCAGTGCAATCAAAAAAGACATCAGACTGTGAAAGGCAGTAATGCTGATAGGCCACTTTCACAGTTTTCAAAAACATATTTAAATTAAGGCCGGAAGCAAGGTTTCTAAAGTTAGTAGGTTGTTTCGTTATAGTAAACGGATGACGTCATTGGGAGGACCTTATGAAGATATATTTCCTATTCACAATCTGAAGTCCAAAGGTACAGGTAAATTTATCACCTTTCCCTATCAAATAGCATTGAAAGGTGATAAATTTTACCTGTACTTTTGAACTTCAGATTGTAAATAGGATATACAGTCGTGAGCACAAAAAGTGGGACACCCGTTTTTTCCTATTGTAAAACGGGCTCACCAGCTATACCTACGGCAATGACAGGGATGGTCATATTTGACAAAAAATCGATTGTAGAGAAAAGACTGATTTACGCAAACTAGCGAAAAATGACAAGACCTATCAGTCGGATGTCCCACTTTTTGTGCTCATGACTGTACATTATGTTTAGGCAAGAGGCAAGGTTCCTAAAGTTAAGAGTGGATTCCGTTGCCTAACCTGGTTAACCGTAGATACAACGTCGGTTCATAGCGGTTGACAACGATTGACAAGTGGTTGCTGGAAATTTCGGTTTCAAACGGAACGCTTTCCTAATCGCAGAATCGCAGCCGGTTGCCTTGGTGACATGTTTGACATAACTAACCGCGTTTCGTATAGACCGGTGTTTCAGGAACTAGACATTACGGAACGTGTAACCGTAACTAAGGTTGGAAACGCAACGCACCATAAGAAAAACCTTATATTGTGTCAATTGTTGTAAATTTGTTGTAAATTTTGTAAAAATTTGTAGTAAAGTAAATTTGTTGTAAATTTTATATTTTTCCAATTTTTGATTTTCACTTTTTTTCCCCTATTTTTTTTCAGCTTTTTTTCCCCGACTTTTTTTTCCCGATTTTTTTTTTCCCGACTTTTATTTTCCCAACTTTTTTTTCCGACTTTCTTTTTTCTCGACCTATTTTTCCTGACCATTTTTTTCCCGACTTTTTTTTTCCCGATTTTTATATTCCTGATCATTTTTTGCCGACTTTTTTTTCCCATTTTTTTTTTCCCCGACCATTTTTTTCCTGACCATTCTTTTTCCCCGACTTTTTTTTGCCCGTCTTTTTTTTCCCGATTTTTTTTTCCCGCCTTTTTTCCGAATTTCTTTTTTCCCGAACATTTTTTTTTCGGACTTTTTTTTTCCCCGACTTTTTTTCTCGACTTTTTTTTCCCGAACATTTTTTTCCCGACTTTCTTTTTCCCAATTTTTTTTTTCCCGACCATTTTATTTGCCGACCATTATTTTTCCCGACTTTTTTTTTTCTCGACAATTTTTTTTTCCTGACCATTTTTTTCCTGATCATTTTTTTCCCGATTTTTTTTTTCTGATCATTTTTTTTGCCGACCATTGTTTTTCCCGACTTTTTTTTCCTAACTTTTTTTTTTTCCCGAATTTTTTTTTTCCCGACTATTTTTTTCCAGACCATTCTTTTTCCTCGACTTTTTTTTTTAGCGACTTTTTTTTCCCTACCTGTTTTTCCCTCCTTTTTTTTCTCGAGTTTTTTTTTCCAAATTTCTTTTTTCTCAAACATTTTTTTTTCGGACTCTTTTTTACCGACTTTTTTTTTCTCGACAATTTTTTTTTCCCAACCATTTTTTTCCTGATCATTTTTTTCCCGACTTTTTTTTTCTCGATTTGTTTTTTCCTGATCATTTTTTTGCCGTCCATTGTTTTTCCCGACTTTTTTTTTTCCCAACTTTTTTTTTTCCCGATTTTTTTTTCCGACCATTTTTTTTCCCGACTATTTTTTTCCTGACCATCCTTTTTCCCCGACATTTTTTTCTCGACTTTTTTTTTCCGAACATTTTTTTCTCGACTATTTTATTCCTGACCATCCTTTTTCCCCGACTTTTTTTTTTTCTGATCATTTTTTGCTGACTTTTTTTTTCCCAATTTTTTTTTTTCCCCGACCATTTTTTTCCTGACCATTCTTTTTCCCCGACTTTTTTTTGCCCGTCTTTTTTTTTCCCGATTTTTTTTTCCCGCCTTTTTTTCCGAATTTCTTTTTTCCCGAACATTTTTTTTTTCGGACTTTTTTTTTCTCCGACTTTTTTTCTCGACTTTTTTTTCCCGAACATTTTTTTCCCGACTTTCTTTTTCCCATTTTTTTTTTTTTTCCCGACCATTTTATTTGCCGACCATTATTTTTCCCGACTTTTTTTTTTCTCGACAATTTTTTTTTCCTGACCATTTTTTTCCTGATCATTTTTTCCCGATTTTTTTTTTCTGATCATTTTTTTTGCCGACCATTGTTTTTCCCGACTTTTTTTCCCAAACTTTTTTTTTTCCCGAATTTTTTTTTTCCCGACTATTCTTTCCTGACCATTCTTTTTCTAGTTTTTGTTCGATTTTTTTTTCGCGACTTTTTTTTTCCCTACCTGTTTTTCCCGCCTTTTATTTCTCGAGTTTTTTTTTCCAAATTTCTTTTTTCTCAAACATTTTTTTTTCGGACTCTTTTTTACCGACTTTTTTTTTCTCGACTTTTTTTTCCCGACTTTTTTTTTCCCATTTTTTTTTTTTTCGATCAATTTTATTTGCCGACCATTGTTTTTCCCGATTTTTTTTTTCTCGACAATTTTTTTTTCCCGACCATTTTTTTCCTGATCATTTTTTTCCCGACTTTTTTTTTCTCGGTTTTTTCCTGATGATTTTTTTGCCGACCATTGTTTTTCCCAACTTTTTTTTTTCCCGATTTTTTTTTCCGACCATTTTTTTTCCCGACTATTTTTTTCCTGATCATCCTTTTTCCCCGACATTTTTTTCCCGACTTTTTTTCCGATTTTTTTTCCCACCTTTAATTTCTCCACTTTTTTTTTCCGAATTTCTTTTTTCTCGAACATTTTTTTTTCAGACTTTTTTTTTCCCGACTATTTTTTCCTGACCATTCTTTTTCTTCGACTTTTTTTTTCGCGACTTTTTTTTTCCCTACCTGTTTTTCCCTCCTTTTTTTTCTCGAGTTTTTTTTTCCAAATTTCTTTTTTCTCAAACATTTTTTTTTCGGACTCTTTTTTACCGACTTTTTTTTTCTCGACTTTTTTTTCCCGACTTTTTTTTTTCCCATTTTTTTTTTTTTCGATCAATTTTATTTGCCGACCATTGTTTTTCCCGATTTTTTTTTCTCGACAATTTTTTTTTCCCGACCATTTTTTTCCTGATCATTTTTTTCCCGACTTTTTTTTTCTCGGTTTTTTCCTGATGATTTTTTTGCCGACCATTGTTTTTCCCGACTTTTTTTTTTCCCAACTTTTTTTTTTCCCGATTTTTTTTTCCGACCATTTTTTTTCCCGACTATTTTTTTCCTGATCATCCTTTTTCCCCGACATTTTTTTCCCGACTTTTTTTCCGATTTTTTTTCCCACCTTTAATTTCTCCACTTTTTTTTTCCGAATTTCTTTTTTCTCGAACATTTTTTTTTCAGACTTTTTTTTTCCCGACTATTTTTTCCTGACCATTCTTTTTCTTCGACTTTTTTTTTCGCGACTTTTTTTTTCCCTACCTGTTTTTCCCTCCTTTTTTTTCTCGAGTTTTTTTTTCCAAATTTCTTTTTTCTCAAACATTTTTTTTTCGGACTCTTTTTTACCGACTTTTTTTTTCTCGACTTTTTTTTCCCGACTTTTTTTTTTTCCCATTTTTTTTTTTTTCGATCAATTTTATTTGCCGACCATTGTTTTTCCCGATTTTTTTTTTCTCGACATTTTTTTTTTCCCGACCATTTTTTTCCTGATCATTTTTTTCCCGACTTTTTTTTTCTCGGTTTTTTCCTGATCATTTTTTTGCCGACCATTGTTTTTCCCGACTTTTTTTTTTCCTAACTTTTTTTTTTCCCGATTTTTTTTTCCGACCATTTTTTTTCCCGACTATTTTTTTCCTGATCATCCTTTTTCCCCGACATTTTTTTCCCGACTTTTTTTCCGATTTTTTTTCCCACCTTTAATTTCTCCACTTTTTTTTTCCGAATTTCTTTTTTCTCGAACATTTTTTTTTCGGACTTTTTTTTTTCGACTTTTTTTTTCTCGATTTTTTCTCTCCCAATTTTTTTTTCACGAACATTTTTTTTGCCGACTATTTTTTTCCTGATCATTCTTTTTCCTCGACTTTTTTTTTAGCGACTTTTTTTTCCCTACCTGTTTTTCCCTCCTTTTTTTTCTCGATTTTTTTTTTCCAAATTTCTTTTTTCTCAAACATTTTTTTTTCGGACTCTTTTTTACCGACTTTTTTTTTCTCGACTTTTTTTTCCCGACTTTTTTTTTCCCATTTTTTTTTTTTCGATCAATTTTATTTGCCGACCATTGTTTTTCCCGATTTTTTTTTTCTCGACAATTTTTTTTTCCCGACCATTTTTTTCCTGATCATTTTTTTCCCGACTTTTTTTTTCTCGGTTTTTTCCTGATCATTTTTTTGCCGACCATTGTTTTTCCCGACTTTTTTTTTTCCCAACTTTTTTTTTTCCCGATTTTTTTTTCCGACCATTTTTTTCCCGACTATTTTTTTCCTGATCATCCTTTTTCCCCGACATTTTTTTCCCGACTTTTTTTCCGATTTTTTTTCCCACCTTTAATTTCTCGACTTTTTTTTTCCGAATTTCTTTTTTCTCGAACATTTTTTTTTCGGACTTTTTTTTTTCGACTTTTTTTTTCTCGATTTTTTCTCTCCCAATTTTTTTTTCCCGAACATTTTTTTTGCCGACTATTTTTTTCCTGATCATTCTTTTTCCTCGACTTTTTTTTTTAGCGACTTTTTTTTCCCTACCTGTTTTTCCCTCCTTTTTTTTCTCGAGTTTTTTTTTCCAAATTTCTTTTTTCTCAAACATTTTTTTTTCGGACTCTTTTTTACCGACTTTTTTTTTCTCGACTTTTTTTTCCCGACTTTTTTTTTTCCCATTTTTTTTTTTTTCGATCAATTTTATTTGCCGACCATTGTTTTTCCCGATTTTTTTTTTCTCGACAATTTTTTTTTCCCGACCATTTTTTTCCTGATCATTTTTTTCCCGACTTTTTTTTTCTCGATTTGTTTTTTCCTGATCATTTTTTTGCCGTCCATTGTTTTTCCCGACTTTTTTTTTTCCCAACTTTTTTTTTTCCCGATTTTTTTTTCCGACCATTTTTTTTCCCGACTATTTTTTTCCTGACCATCCTTTTTCCCCGACATTTTTTTCTCGACTTTTTTTTTCCGAACATTTTTTTCTCGACTATTTTATTCCTGACCATCCTTTTTCCCCGACTTTTTTTTTTTCTGATCATTTTTTGCTGACTTTTTTTTCCCATTTTTTTTTTCCCCGACCATTTTTTTCCTGACCATTCTTTTTCCCCGACTTTTTTTTGGCCGTCTTTTTTTTTCCCGATTTTTTTTTCCCGCCTTTTTTTCCGAATTTCTTTTTTCCCGAACATTTTTTTTTTCGGACTTTTTTTTTCTCCGACTTTTTTTCTCGACTTTTTTTTTCCGAATTTTTTTTTTCGGACTTTATTTTCCGATTTTTCTTTTTCGGACCATTTTTTTCCCGACTATTTTTCCCGACCATTTTTTCTCGACTATTTTTTTCCTGACAATTCTTTTTCCCCCACTTTTTCTTTCCCCGACTTTTTTTTTTCTTCGACTTTTTTTTTCCCGATTTTTTTTTCCCACCTTTTTTTTTCGACTCTTTTTTTCCGAACATTTTTTTTTCGGACTTTTTTTCCCGACTTTTTTTTCTCGCTTTTTTTTTGTCGACCATTCTTTTTTTTTCCCGATTTTTTTTTCCCGATTTTTTTTCCCGCCTTTATCTTCTCGACTTTTTTGCCGAATTTCTTTTTTCCCGAACATTTTTTTCTCGGACTCTTTTTTCCCGACTTTTTTTTTCTCGACTTTTTTTCCCGAACATTTTTTCCCAACTTTTTTTTTCACTATTTTATTTTTCCCGACCATTTTATTTGCTGACCATTGTTTTTCCCGATTCTTTTTTTTTCGACAATTTTTTTTCCCGACCATTTTTTTCCTGATCATTTTTTTCCCGACTTTTTTTTTCTCGATTTTTTTTTCTCGCCTTTTTTTTCTCGACTCTCCGTATTTCTTTTTTCCGGAACATTTTTTTTTGCCGACCATTGTTTTTTCCCACTTTTTTTTTCCCAATTTTTTTTTCCCGCCTTTTTTTTCTCGACTTTTTTTTTCCGAATTTTTTTTTTCCGAATTTCTTTTTTCCCGAACATTTTTTTTTTTAACTTTTTTTTCCCGAATTTTTTTTCTCGACTTTTTTTTCCCGAACATTTTTTTCCCGACTTTTTTTTCCCAATTTTTTTTTTCTCGACAATTTTTTTTTTCCGACCATTTTTTTCCCGACTTTTTTTTCCCGACTCTTTTTTCCTGATCATTTTTTTGTCGACCATTGTTTTCCCCGATTTTTTTTCCCGATTTTTTTTTTTCCTGACCATTCTTTTTCCCCGACTTTTTTTTTCCCGACTTTTTTTTTTCCCGATTTTTTTTTCCCGCCTTTTTTTTCTCGACTTTTTTTCCGAATTTCTTTTCTCCCGAATTTCTTTTTTCCCGAACATTTTTTTTTCGGACTCTTTTTTCCCGACTTTTTTTTTCTGGACTTTTTTTCCTGAACATTTTTTTCCCAACTTTTTTTTTCACAATTTTATTTTTCCCGACCATTTTATTTGCTGACCATTGTTTTTCCCGATTTTTTTTTTCGACAATTTTTTTTCCCGACCATTTTTTTCCTGATCATTTTTTTCCCGACTTTTTTTTTCTCGATTTTTTTTTTCTCGATTTTTTTTTCTCGCCTTTTTTTTCCACTCTTTTCGAATTTCTTTTTTCCCGAACATTTTTTTTTTTAAACTTTTTTTTCCCGAATTTTTTTTCTCGACTTTTTTTTCCCGAACATTTTTTTCCCGACTTTTTTTTTCCCAATTTTTTTTTTCCCCGACCATTTTATTTGCCGACCATTGTTTGTGACATACGCCTTGAATCTTCATAAAGCATTCCAGATGACGTCATAAAGTTACCCCTTTACCATACAACCTATTAACTTCAAGAACCTTGATTTGGTAATTTATTGTAGCTTTTATTAATGAAATTCCCTTACCAATAATCTTATTCCACTGATCAATATGATCGGTACCGGGGAATAATACCCCGCCGCGAATCATTTCGCCCATAATACAGCCCACCGACCATATATCCACGTTTTCCGTATAGCCCATGCCCAAAATAACTTCGGGCGCTCTATAGTACCGCGTAACCACATACGGCGTCATCATAAAAGTCGTACCGGCCGTCCGAGCCAGGCCGAAATCCAAAATTTTCAACGTGCAATCGGATTTGACTACAATGTTGCTTGGTTTCAGGTCACGATGTATTATTCCGGCCGAGTGTAAATGTTTAATGCCGCATAGCATTTGGTAGAGCAAATAGCTCATGCGTTCGTGGTCTAAGTCCATTTGGATCACCTGGCACAAGTTGGCGTCCATTAGTTCCATCACCAGGTAGACATCTTGGAATTCTTCGAGTGATCTTTGAGGTGTGAACGCGTTCAAGAGACCAATAATCTGAAAAAGTCGTAGATTAATAGATTTTTTGAAGATGCATAAATAGTTCTTTGAAAAACTGCGGGTACATTGATCAACCCAAAAGGCATTCTAAGGTATTCATATTGCTCGGCTAGTGTCACGAATGCTGTTTTATGTCTTGAATCCTCTGCCATGGGATGATATCCATTAACCATATCAAGTGTAGTGAAATAATTATTAATATTAAGAATTGTAATATATACTTACATTTTTGTGGTTAACCAATTTCATGAGCTTAAACTCACGGTAAGCTCGTTTGGCGTGAGTCACATTTTGGAACGGCCTACTGAGTTTCTTGATGGCAACATTTTGCTGAGTCACCGTATCGACAGCAGCGCTGAAATCAAAAACCCGCAAAAAAATTAAAATTAAAACAATTTGGAACAAAAATTCATGCTCTAATTGCATACTATCTACCCTGAAAACGCTATTTTTTTTTTTTGGTTCGGAGTAGGTAGGTACTCACCATACTAAACCTTGTGCGCCGCCTCCTTTCGGTTCCAAATTGCTGTACCGTTGCGGTACCCAAAATTCGGCATCTTCGAATACAAACTGCGTAAAGCCGGGACGCATTTTGTTTTTTTTTTGAGGATGAGGAAAGTGAGAAGGGAATAAAATAATTGATTCACAAACAAGGACAAAAACAAAACATGCACTAGTTTCTAGTAAACTCAAAACCACACATTCCAAATCAACTACAAAAAAAAAAAAATTAAAAATCTATAAAAACGTGTTCCGAAATCAACAGACACAAAAATCGATTCTTACCAAACGATTCCCTGTGCTCCGGAGCCGATCGGTTTGAGGTTCTGATACCGTTTCAATATGGTGAACTTGGTGTCGCCCACCTCGACGGTGTAGAACTGCGATAGGCGGGACATTCTGATCGAGTTGCGCCAGTCCCAGTAGTTTTTCTGGGCGGATGTCTGCAAAGAAAACGTCGTGCTGAAAAACGGGGATTTGGAACGGAACGATTTAAATATTAACTGTTTCCGGATTAGTAGTTTCTCACAGACACTCTGCAACCTGGATGTTAAATTGAGAAAAAAGTTAGTTGCCTCAAATTCTCTGAATGGCCCATCTAGCTCTCCGAGAAAAAGGTGAGAATTGATTAATTTTTCCTTACTTTTGTTAGTTTTCTAATTTAACATTGGGTACTATATCGGCCCTTCTAATAGCCGACTCCGTTTTAGAGCGCGTCGCTGTTTCTAGAATGGTCTAGATAATTCGTTTCCGGCAATGTGGCGATGAGAGATATATTATAATAATATTGATTGGTCATTTATCATGGAAATCATGGGAGAACTTAGGAAAGACAAAAAAATATTCAAAGGACCCTGCACACTTCTTATGGGATTTCTGCTGTCAAACTTAAATTAATATGAGGCACACAAACCCTTTGTTTGCTTATCAAAGTCACGTGTTTTGGATAGGCTAATAGATCTGACCTTTCTGATCAATAACTATCATGGGCACAACTTAATCCTTTTACTAGTTTTTGAGATACAGGGTGTTCAATGTGTGAATGTCCGATATGCATTATGACACCTTATTCAATCAGCCAAATCATATTTGTGTGAGAATTCGGTCAAGGCACAGAAATCAAGTAATATACCAATAGTTATTTGTGCTCGAACCATAGGTTCATGCACAGGGTGTCCCATTTTGGTTGTACCGGGTATGTTCCTTATAATTTCTACAGCTTAAACAAATAATAATTTGAAAAAAAGTTGAATACAAAAGTTGGAGAGTTTTGTCTTTATTATCTTTGGCAAGTGTCAAAACGGGCAAATGACAGATGCCAACTATCATAATGACAAACACTTGCATTTTTCAAATGGAACACCCTGTATATTTTTGGCTAGATTTTTTTCCTTCTGATTCCAAATATATGTTGATATTTGGTTCAGCTGTTTTGTACTCTAAATGATTGGAATAAGTACTTCGCCACCTTACTCACTGAAGACCGCAAACACTTCATAGAAGAACTTGAGAATGACATTATCTGCCTCACCTATTAGAATATCTGTTGAGGAGGTGAAGCAGGTCTGTACAAAACTAAAAAACAGAAATGTCCTAGGACCCGGTGATATACCAGCAGAATAAGTTAAGCATGGCAAACTGCTTGAACAGCGGAGAAATACCATCCGAATAAAAATTGTCCTTTATATGTCAACCATTCATAAAAAGGTAGCAAAGAGATGTGTGACAATTACAGAGATATCGCAGTAATGAGCACAATTAGCAGAATATACGAAAAGAATCTTAAAGGAAAAAATCGAACGAGAATATGCTGACAACGGCAGGGAGAGCCACAGTAGACCATCTATTCTGTATTACTCAACTCAGTGAGAAAATGACGGCAGTAAATAAGGAATTGCATCTTCTTTATGTAGACCTGAAAAAACCCTATGACAGCCAGACAGTAAAAATAGAAACCTAATAAAAGCGATCCAGCAACTATATAAAAACTGTCATATAGAAATAAAAATTGGCAACAATGTCACAATAGTTATTTACATTACAAGTGCGTTTATGAACATAATTACAATAACGAATGTGAAATATTAAAACGACAAGGTCGTAGTGACATTTGTCAAATCACCAAAAATAGTTGTGTTATAGACTCATAACCTAGTCCATAACACCACTGTTCTGTTATGAGTCTCATGACATAACTCAAATACTAGAAAAATGGTTATGTAAAAAAACGTCATAACCAAACGCTTGTAGATAATGCGCAAAGTTATCACTTTGCACACTCATTTGCGTGCGTAAAGTTGAACTTTGAGTACGGAAACTCTTTGTGCACTAATTTTTGTTACGCATAGTTACCGCATTTTATACTCAATTTTTTAATGTTTTGTGGGTTTCTTGATAAACTTTATGGACTTAGAAAAAAGGGCCTGATGTTATGTTTGTTCCAATAAAGGCATTCAGGTAATATTCAGCTTTTTAAATTTGACACTTTCCATATGAGGAGCGAAGGGAGGAAAAATTCAGCAAAAGCAAATGGAGGTAAGGTGACTTATGGCATCTACTTAGACAATAAAGCATATTTTGATTTGATTTTGATTTGATTTGATTTGAAGTTTTTGTAGCTATGTATTTTTTGCGGTTCCTGCACTGGAGGGTTTTTCCAATACAGGAAGAGCGGTATGTGGTCCGAGTTAAAAATATTTTTAGTTTTGATAGTCAAGTCTCTGAGTCCCCTCGAGAGAGCGATATCTATCGTTGAGGGGTTCAGTCCGTTAAGCGGGTAGTGCGTGGGGTTATTCGGGTGGTGTAATGTCTGGGTTGTCACTTAAAAACTTGAAGAGTATTCTACCTGTCCTGTTGTTGGCGTGGTTCAGCCAAGATGTGTGCCTGGCATTAAGGTCCCCCAGCAGTAGTGCCCTTCCATTTCTGGGGAAGAAGACCTTAATGTCAAGGGCGGTTCTAATCGCTTCGGGGGGGGGGGGGGGGGGGGGGGCGTAGCCACCCGAGATCCACCAAATTGTTGTCTATTTCCAGCGTTATGTGCTCGATGCTGGTGTTTAAGGTTGGAATTCGCTTATAGCTGACTGATTTGTGGATCAGGCATGCCACGCCCCCGCCTCTGCGATTTCTGTCCATTCGTTCTGTATTGTATTGTTTGTGCTTAAGGCTGTCCGTTGGTAGTAGTTTAGTCTCGTTTAAGAAGATTAGTTTGGGACTGTAATGATTCATGGCCTGATATAGGTCTCCCCTCTTCGAGTTGAGACCATTACAGTTCCAACTAATTATGAGCCACATTTAAAAGTCAAAACTGTGAATTCCAGTGGTGAAAAATTGCATGGTAACCTGCAATACCTGCGATTTGTCACCATTGCACTGTTTAAGGAGCGCGATATAGTGGTTCAGAGCTTTGAGTAGTTCTGTGATATTGACAAGAGTAGAAGCGGCAACACTGCATAAACAAAAATATTTTTAAAGTGTAGATTATGGTCGTTTATCCCGGTTGCCAAATTTTCAAAATATTCCGCTTTTTAGTTTTCCGTAAACGTCTAATACGCCATCCACCGTGGGACACCCTGTATGATATGTACCTACTTTGTAAATTAACTAAATACAAAAATAATTTCTCAATATTTCTTTAATCAACTTACTCGAAATAAATTGGTTTGCAATTTGGCGCCCTAGGCGGTTCCTGGTTGCCTCGGTTGCCTGTGCCTAAATCCTAAATCCTTACCTGCCCTCTGCAGTACCATTTTTTATTTAGCGTGACCGCGATGCGATTTGTAATATTATATTATTTCATTTGCATCACTTATGGGCTTTATGGCCGTTTCCACCAACTATTTAAGGGAAGCCTTAACCATAAGTATTCCCTAAACTGACAGTTTTCCATGGAGAAATGTCAGTTCAGGGAATACTTATCGTTAAGTCCTCCCCAAAAAATTTGGTGGAAACGGACATTAGCTCGAGTTTTGTCCGCGTTGTGTCGGAGCTTGAAGCGGGCAGTGACATGTCACTGCTACTAACTGTGACTGTGACAAACGAGTAGCAGTGACAAAGTCACAGTTCGTGAAATCGCAATCAACCTATAACTCTAACCCCTAAATGTCAAACCTCTATTTGACTTGTTGAAATGTGACAAAACAGCTTTTTTAGTGTAATGTATGGAAACCAAAATTATCAAAATTTAACAACAGTGAAATAACAAATAACAACACTTAACACCATTCACATAAAATACTCGTTGAGCGAAATTTTGTGAGGTGCAATATTTCTCCTGATATGCTGCCAATTTCATCTCCAATTTTTTACTTCAGTTCTTCTATATCTCGGGGTCTGTCCTCCTATCCATCTTCCAGGAAAGGTTTGGTCCAAATAATCACGCACACGACGGCCATAATGAGGCGGCGCACCATCTTACTAGAACCCAATATTTCCAGCGGGTAGATTTGTAATTTCGTTTTTGGGAAATAGGTGCCGGACCCTAGGAATAATTTGACTTTACTACAGAAGAAAATTTAACAGCTGAAAACTGTTAAATTTTCTTCGATAAAGTATGGCCCTATTATGCAATCTTCAAGGATCCCGCATCAAACGTTAACTTTATATGGTCGTTGTGTGTGTGTTTCCACCATCCAGTGCGGATTAGAGTCTGATCAAAATCGGCAATTATGCTGATTTACGTCACCATGCAGACTAAAAGTTGCTTCGTCCGAAAACAGTATTTGATTTTTGATGTTGCCATTTTGGTTCATCCTATCCATCATTGTCTCACAAAACTGAATTCTTCGGTCAAAATAATCTGTGTTGCCATATTTCAAAAACCAAGTCGAATGAAGGTTTGGCATTCAGGAGTTTTAGTAATGTTGAGACGCTGAATTAATTACAATGAAAATAAAGAGGGGCATCCATTTAAAAAAATTCAGTTACATACGGCATCTTAGAAACAGTAAACTTGGCAACATTGCAAATATCGTCATTGAATCGGGCATTCCCAAAAACCCCTAGGTAGGGAATATTGTACATTTTGCTAAAGTCTTTTCCATAATACGAGACTGTTTCCATAAATTTCAACAAAAAATCTGTGTTGCCATATTTCAAAAATCAAGTCAAATGGAGTTTTGGAATTTAGGGGTTTTAGTAATGTTGAGACGCTGAATTAATTACAATAAAAATAAAGGGGGGCATCCATTTAAAAAAATCAAATTACATACGGCATCTTAGAGACGGTAAAAAATACCACCATTGAATCGGGCATTCTCAAAAACCCCCAGGTAAGAAATATTGTAAATTTTTTTCAAGTCGGTTCTGAAATATCAGACCGTTTCCATACATAACGACAACCCTGTATATCGTTAGGATCCTTGAAAGTAGTTATTAGTTATACCCAAGTTTGCAACCCTGGCTGAAAAAGCTGTGCTACTCTCGTGGTGCGCAAATAGGATTTACATATACATCTATCATAGAAAATTGAAAATAACGTATTTGATGAGTGATGGCTATTATTAAGTAGGTACATCAAATATGTTGTTCTCAATTTTTCATCATGAATATCCATTTAAGGGCCAAATTATGGACTGACTGGTAAACGTCTGGTTGTTACCTAGCAGGTACTTTCTATGCACTAGAGAATAGAAAGTACCTGCTAGGAGACACTTACAGTTGGTCCATAATTTGGCCCTAAATCCTATATACATATTCACTAGCAAGAGGTGAGCTTCAAAATGGCAGCGTTTTCATTATGAACATATAGGATTTTAAAGAACCAATCAGAAATAAGATGGCAATTGTCGCCAGTGGTTGGATTCGGTAATTCCATAATTCCATCTGCGAGCAAAATTTGACAGATGTCACGTGATTTGACACGTGAAAAAAAAAAGTGATCATGTGACGTCCGTCAAAATTTGCTCGCAATTGCAATTATCGAACCAAGCCATTGTGGTTTTATAGCGAAATCCATTAGAAGGGTTAGTGCGCACTGAGTATATTCGTATCTTTTTCTACCAGCTTGTATAAGAAAGAGATAAAAATACATTTTTCCTACGAGCGTGCGCAAAGTACCTAGTACTTTTCCGCACACATTACCGTTCTCAAAGTTACACTTTTCCGCACTCAGTGCGGATAAGGCCCGTATCCGCAATGAGTTCCGAAAAGTAAAAATAATTGTCAAGCAACAATAAGTGCACCTGCCGACTTTGAAACATGATGACAAATTTTTCCTCGGTTTCTATATCAGCCAACATCTATACAAACATTGAATATAATTAACTTTGACACAATGTCAGATTTGTGTTTTGATGAATGAAACACTTTCCGCACTTGTTACGAAAATAACTATTTTCTGCATTGGTTCTACCAATGGAATTCGCTATTAGAGTCACTGTAAATAAACTTTGCTATAAACTTGTCTAGTTCGCTTCGCTGTTCGTTTTGCTTTGTACCTGCTCTATAGTGCTCCTGCTAGTGCTATTCCGCAGTTGTTTAGTGGTATGTGGCTGTTCTGTTGAAATCGTTTGTGCGAACCTCAGTAAAATAAAAGCTTAAAATTTATGAGTATGAATGATAGCGAATAAACTTCGTACGAGATATTGGGTCGTATGAATAAAAACGAAGTACTTGCTACTACTACAAGTATTAGTATGTTCTACATAGTATTTACTTCAAAACGAAGTAGATACCACATTTCTAAACTACCGGAAATTAGTAAATGCTTCTTTGTGAAGTAGATACTTCGAAGAATATACTAATACTTGTAGTAGTAGCATGTACTTCGTTTTTATTCATACTACCCATTGGCTTCACCTAGGCGATTGTTTTATATGTCACTTAAGCCTACTGGAAGACAAAGTGGTGGTTGTAAATAAAAAAGGTAACATTGAAGCAAGTGGAAAACGTGGTCTTCGAGAAAACAAAGATTATCACTCGAGGAGAAATCAAGTTTCCGTACATGATACATTTATGCAGAAAGAGATATACTTATGTGTCCAAGATAAGGAGGGCCAGTATGGAGATCTCGGAAACAGTGAAAGATACGACGTTGCTTAAATTAGGAAAAAAATTGGGCAATTTTGTGCTCATTAAAATACCGCTCTGATATTTTAAAAATTTCCAGTAATACCGGAAATATCCGGGAAAATCCGAAATTCGACCAGAAGGATTTTATTTTTTCCTGACCTTATTTGAAGAAATATTTCAAAATAAATGGCACTTCTTCATTGTCACTTTCTCTCCTCAACAATATGGCATTATCAAATTTTAAGTACGACGTTTCGTCTTTGGGTGACCATATCATCAGATCCCCATACTGGCCCTCCTTATTTTGGACACATTGTATATAGTGATGCAACTTAAAAACAAAGAACAGAAAGACTGTTTTTTTAAATCTTAAAAATATGGAAAAAGTGAGGTCGTATGACAGTGGTGTGTTTTAAAGACGTCGGACAAGCGATTCTATACCAAAACTGGTACGAGGAAAAAAAAACAACATAAAACATTTTTGGTAGATAACAACATAAGAACCCGTGTGACTGGGGATGAGTCACCAACGGACAAGGTTTCATGCCTATTACAATGTAGGTACGCAGAGGCCCTTCTTAGAATAGTTGCTGCAAATGCAAGAAAGGTTGCTTAGGATCGTGCAGTTTCAAAAAGTGTTCCATTCTATGCTTCTTTTGCCAAGGGCGAAGTTATAATAATAACGTCACCTCTATAGAGAGGATGAGGTAGTGGACGATCCAACATATGATGATGACCCATCTCCACCTTCAGAAAATATCGCCCCTTTACAGCCTTTCTCTCCCACTGATCCTGACTGGATGGGACCCGGCTCTTCCAAAAGGGCGAAATTCCAGACTACTACAGTGTTTGTGCTTGACTGTCTGAAGCAAAGACCTCTTTGGTCTGAAGAGTATTTAATAGTTTATATGTATGATTATGTTGTTTATTTCATCTGTACGTTCTATATATTCCATATGTGTTAAATTCTCATTCTTGTAGGTTTTTTTGAAGAAATACATATCAGCAATATTCATTGTTTCTATTATTTTCCCAAATTCCTATGTCTCAATATTTTTTTTTGTGTTTTTAAGGAAACTGTGATGAGTGTAATAACATAAAAAATACTTATGTAGTATAGAGATACCCAAAAAAACGCTTCCTTGAGGTAGTTTTTCTGAAAAACTAAAAAAGTGCCAGAATTTCGAATTTTATCGAGCACAACGGAAGTAGCACAAGGTTCTCAGGGTTGCAAACTTGAGTATAAATTACTCACAAGAGTCCTAACAATATATAAAAAATCATACATAGGTACATGCGCGTTTGCGATGTTTGATGCTTTTATTGACTGACCTATGATTAGTTTATCATGAAGATCATGGGAGAACTTAGAAAAAACCAAAAAATATTGAAATTTCCAACTAAGTAAGTCAAGAAACCGTTATCAGCCACTTAAAATCCAGTCACAAAATTAATTTTTACTCGACAAACAAATCCATTTGCCGTGAACTTTGATCGAAACGATAATCAAGCCTGTTTTTAGTACCCGACCAGACGTGGCCCTGAAAAGCCGCATTAAAATTTTATCGTTATTTGAAAAAATATGGCTTCAAAAGTAGGTTTAAAGGTATTCGTCAACGGAATAAGGCCATTTTCCAGTTCTTCAGTCAACAACGCAATTCAAAATGTGACTATTGTAGGGGGCGGACTTATGGGATCAGGAATTGCACAGGTAAAAATATTTTGGTTCATTTTTCTTGTATTTTTAAGTTGTTTACTTTTATAGGTTGCAGCTCAAAAAGGCAACAACGTAACAATCCTAGAAGTAAGCCAAGATCAACTTAAAAATGCACAGAATATCATCGGAAACAGCTTGGGCAGGGTGGCAAAGAAACTATACAAAGATGATACTGATGCCGCTCAGAAATTCGTACAAGAAACAGCGTCAAGGATAAAAGTAATTTCTAGTGGAGTATAATAGACTCAAGATGATTTTCTAAGTAATTTTAGGGTACTACTGAAGTGAAAGAAGCAGTTGAAAACTCAGATTTAGTAGTTGAGGCTGTTATAGAAAATATGGAGCTGAAACATAAAATTTTCAAGGCTTTGGATGAAGCTGCTCCTGCTAAAACTTTATTCGCTTCAAATACGAGCTCGTTGTCAATTACCGAAATCGCTTCTGTGGTTAATAGGAAAGACAAGTAAGGGCAAATTTGGACCAACCTACTAGACACATAGGAAATAATCATATATGCACAAATTTTAATGGTAGTATTGGTATCAGTCATTGAAGCCTATGTGTCTAATAGCCTGGTCCTGTCTGTATAAATCTACTAGATTTTACTACTAAGATTATGCAAATAATAATAGACGTGTCCCATATTACCTGAAATGTGCAGACAGTTGGGGGTAAATAAGTTGACAGTTTGCATATAGTAAAAATGTCATTAATGGCCATTGTCACCAAGCTATAAGTAAACACTGATTAACCATGAAGCCCCCAGCGCAGCGGCGCGCGCATCTATGTTCTGTCCCAGTTCATCTCATTACTTTTAACCATATGCACAGTCTCTTTTTATATACGAGACATGTCTATTGCTATTTTTATGTGATTTTTTGAAATTATTCAGCAGTGACCGTTGCAGCAGCCACTCCCATTTGAAGCATATTGACATCTCATCTGTTAAGACAGAAATTGAAAATTCAAGATGGCGACGTGGATATAACAAACTTGACAAGGAAGGTGCCTTCACATTCAATTTCAATTGATATGGGAATTGAATGTAAACGTGACTAACTACGGTTATCAGGTGTGTTATTCCCACGGCGCCATATTGAATTAAGAGAAAGTCAAGTCGCCCTATGTGTCGGCCCCACGTTGGGCGCCAATTTGTTTTTCAAATAATCCATTTTATATTATGTAACACAAGGTGCAATAATGTAAATTGTCTCAATTTGTTTAACACTAATAAAACATACAGGGTTGTCGTTATGTATGGAAACGGTCTAATATTTCAGAAAGTACTTAAAATGACAAAATTTCAGATTTTAAATCAGTCAGTTCTGTGTTCTGATTGGTTGATTTTTTTCAATTCGTATGGAAAGAGAAAAAAAATCTCACATCAGAATTAGCTCAAAATTTCTCTCTGCACTGCGAACAAATTTAAAAAAATCAACCAATCAGAGCACAGAACTGACAAATTTAGAATCTCAAGTGCTGTCATTAACGCCCTCTTAAGAAAAATGTACAATACTTATCATTTCCTAGGGGGTCTTTAGGAATGCCCGATTCAATGGTGGTATTTGCAATGTTGCCAAGTTTACCGTTTTCAAGATGCTGTATGTAACTTAATTTTTTTGAAAGAAAATGTATTGTAATTAATTCAGTGTCCCAACATTACTGCAACTTCCTCCTTTAGACTTGGTTTTCAAAATATGGCAACACAGCTTTTTCGTTGAAATGTATGGAAACAGTCTTGTATTTTAAAACAGGCTCTAGAAAAATGTGATAATGCCTATTCAAGATTTATAGGGGAGCTGGGTCCTTACTCGGTAGGCCCAGATCAAGGTTTTTTGAGAGAGGTAAACTCGTGAGCAGAAAAAGTGGAACACCCAATTGACAGGTCTTGTCATTTTTCACTATTCTGGGTAATAATCAACCTTTTCTGTACAACGGATTTTTTGTCAAAAATGACAATCCCTGTCATTTCCGACGGTGTAGCTGATGAGCCCGTTTTACAATGGGAAAAAACAGGTGCCCCATTTTTTATGCTCACAACTGTACATACAGTGTCCTAAACGGTGAATTTGGCAACATTGTAAAGACCACCATTAGGGGTCAGTTATTCACCTTCTAATAAACAGTCAGTTCAATCTGACAGATAAAAACGCGTAATTCTATTGGTCCGCCAGTTATTCTCCGACCAATAGAATTATAGAACGGTAAATTTGTTTTGCAGATAATTACCAGCAAGTTTATCTGAAGATTAATAAACCGGGCCTAAATTGGGCATTCCCAAAAACTCTTAGGTCAAGAGAACAATTAACCTAATAATGGCGGGTATTATAAAACTACTTTGACAGATATCTTAAAGTTAACTCCTTCGTCCTCATGTAATTCCAGAAGTTAACTTTGAGCTAACTTTCAAAATAGTTTTATAATACCCGCCCTAAGACTGCTTATTGAGCTTAGGGCGGGTATTAAAAAACTATTTTGACAGATTGCGAAAAGTTAACTTGTGGAATTACTCTGGGGAGTAACGTCATTCCAGAAGTTAAATGTCAGAATAGTTTTATAATACTCATTCTTAAAGTGTCTGCCACGCCACAACTCCCCACTTTTGCACTATGTGTGACGTCATCCGCAGACCTCAACTCTTGGCGTAAAATCCATTATCAGAACTTGAAGCACTTGATCAGGAAAACGAATTTCTAAACGTTAAAGTCACCTTTTCGGTACCTGAATCGCAAACAATTCATCAAGGTTTGCGAGTAATAGTGATGACGTCAACTGCAGACTCGAGAACTGGCGAATGTAGGCCTTATTAGGTTGAGTAATGCTAAAGTTAATAGGTTGTTTGGTAATTAAAAACAGATGACGTCATCTGGGGAGCTTAATGGAAATTTGCATTATGTTAAAGTACCCCTAAATGATGTCATATGTCATAGAAGTTACCAGGCAACCCATGGAGCAATGCTACCAGTTGACAGTCAGATGACCTTCAATACAAGCTGTGATTGGTTGGGCTCAAAAACATTCCACCGAACAGGATTGCTCATTCTAAAAAGGCGTACGTTTGTCAGTTCTCAAGTTGGTTTTTGCAAGTGATAGTGGTGACGTCACCCGTAGACCTTGCGATTCAGTTTGTGCATGTAGAAAAGGTGATTTTAAGGTTTTGAGAATTCGTTTTTTTTCCTAAAGCATATACCCATAACACTGACGTATATCGCGGATTGTTTCGAGCTGGTGAAGCAAACAATATGAGATGAAAGTATGCCATCTTTGTCTAGGGAGAATTGAACAGCTGATATTGCAGGGTTGCCAATAAGCGTATAACACTACGAAATTTACTTTTATTTGAACTGAACAAATATCACTGTATTCAAACCACTGACAAAACAAAAAGTCAAAATGACGCATAATATCCTAAACTTGATATGACAACACCGCAAAAGAAGCATGTTACAAAATGCCGGCCAATAGGAATCTAGCATTTAACGTATGCACACTATTGATGACCACGTTCTAGTTCCTTTGACAATGCGAGATGAAATCATATATCTCTATTTTTCTTTATTTGCTTCAAAATCCGCACAATAGGTAAATAGAAAAGGCGCGATATACGTCAGTATAATAGGTATATGATAATGCATTTTACGTCAAGAGTTGAGATCTGCGCTGACGTCACAAATATAGAATCGTCACGTAGACATGGCAGACACTTCAAGCGCCATAGGCATAAACAGTCCTATTGGGTTTCCTCTTGTGTTAAGAATTAAGTAGGCTTATGCGTTATGCAAAACCTTGTGTGAGGACCTCAGTACCTACACTATCTGTTAGATTTTGATTTTGGATTATCTGTTTAATAAACCAAGTATTGCCAACTTAACCAATAACCCTGCCGGGACTTTCCCGAATTCTCTACAAAGAAACCTAATTCAATAAATCCCTATTTACGACGAATACATTTATTCGATGGATAAGGATAATTTATTATCCGAGGAATAAAGCCATCATTACTACTTAAGCCTAGTCTCCATGGACGCCATTGCAACCAATAGGAAAAAATCCGCAAAAAAAAAAAATTCGCTATGGAGACTAGACTTATTTTGACGTTTAATGCGTATTGTGTATCAAACGTCAAAACAATGTCTAGTGTGTATCCAACTTAAAAAACTAATGAATCTTCTTTTTTTTAGATTTGGTGGATTGCACTTTTTCAACCCAGTTCCAGTAATGAAATTGCTAGAAATCATCCGCACCGAAGACACGTCAGATTCGACTTACGAGGCCCTTTTGGCGTGGGGCAAGGCCATAGGCAAGACTTGCGTCAAGTGCAAAGACACCCCGGGATTTATCGTCAACAGGCTTTTGGTGCCTTACATTGCCGAAGCTGTCCGAATGCTGGAACGAGGTATGTAAAAATCAAGGTTGATGTATGACGTCATATGTGGTGCCTCAACATAATATAAAGCGTCATCAAGTGACCCTTTACCTCGAAAAAGTGACGTCAGCTAATGCCTAATTCACAAATAATTTTTTTTAAGGTGACGCCTCCAAAGAGGACATCGATATCGCCATGAAACTAGGTGCGGGCTACCCGATGGGACCTTTGGAGTTGTCCGATTACACCGGTTTGGATACCGGAGTCTTTATCATGGAAGGATGGCACAAGAAATTCCCGGAAAATCCACTTTTCAAACCTGTAGAATTGCAAAAGAAACTGGTGGCCGAAGGCAAACTCGGCAGGAAAACCGGACAAGGATTTTACAATTATAATAAAGCAAACAAACTGTAATTTTTTTTGTAAATAAAAAGGAATTTTCCAGATTTTTCTAGAAGTTGGAACAAGGATTGTTAGCTTGGAAGACACCAAAAACACAATTATTATTATATTGTTAAAGCCAAGATTAATAGGTTGTCTGATAATGACGTCATCTGAGGTGCCTTATGCATAATGCAGCACCACCAAATGACGTCATAAAGTTATCAGGCATTAAAGCTAAAAACTAAATCATTGACTTACCAAGAACGATCCATGGTATTTAATTTATAGACGGTTTGCGCAGCGGTGGCGGTCCCAAAAAAAGACAAATATTTAAAACGCCTGAAACAAAATAATAATTGTGAATTATTAGAGCATAGTCTAACGGGAAAAGTGGGCTCCGAAGCGCGGATAAGGACGCCCGGATGTCCTCCAGGGATCGCGGAACGGCTCTAACTTCTATACTATCTTTTATTTATGGCTGAGAGTTACTGAAATAATATTGAATGGATTTTTGGTTCGAATTTAACGTCGGAACTTTTGATACCTAAGAATAACAGTGAAAACCACACCTCTATATGACAAATAATACCGAAGGTATGGCTCTATGAAGGTACCGCATCTCACCCTATGACGTCACGAGAGCTCAAGCGACGCACGAGATAATGAAGTGCATTGAATTTACATATGTTTTTCCTGTGTCACCTGCAATAATCTAAACAAAAACAACTGACCCGTGCCGAGAACAAACAGAGGAACCATGCTTCGTATATGAAATTTTTGAGTTTTCAAAGAATTGAATGTCAGTAACCTTAGATGATGGACAATGCATTTAATGTCAATTGGTTGTCAAATGACGTTTAATTAATTTATTGTTTGTCCGTCAGCTGTGATAAATGCTTAAGAATCAAGGTTCCTAGGTTGTCTGGTAATGGGTAACTTGATGACGCGTATGGGGTGCCTTATTAGGATTCGCATTACATTGAAGCACCCCAGATGACGTCATAAAAACATCAGACAACCTACCTCTGCTGAGCATATTCAGATCAGAAGATCATAAAGACATGCTTGCTCAGCTAAAAATGATCTTTTTTAGTACATGAAGCAAAATAATGACACAATTTGACAGATTTTGATTTAGAAAGAGTATTTTGTCTCTTTTGTTCTTATGCTTTAAATCAATATTTGTACATGCATATTCCCTTGAAACTTGGCCAAAAAAAAAAAAAAACGGGGATTTCCTGGCACGAGTGTCGAAATCTGCTCTAAATGTGCCTGACACTGTTCCAAGACACATTATCCTTGCACTTTTTGCATTAAATTTACATCAAAAACTAACCCCAAATCAAATCACAAAAAGTACAGCGTCATTTTTCAATCCACTCTAACACCAAATCGAGCGCGTCTTTTTTCTTTTTCCTCTCAAAATAAACTCGCACCGACCGCCGAAAGGAATAACATCACGTTGTGTTGTTTCCTGCTATCAAAATCTATCGACCCTTTTTCTGCTCAAAGGGATAATGGCGCAAGCGCCCTCGCTCCGAACATTGGGTTAGTGAACCGGAGAAGCACCCTTAAAAACACCAAATGGAACATGTGCGAGCGACGTTGCAATTTTTTCGACTTTTGATTCAAGATTTACGTATGTAGTGCGAAAATGGACAACGTGGCTTAGTCAAACAGAGTTGCCACTAGTAATAGTGTGACTTTAAATCAAGACAAATTTGAAAAAATTTCATGCTTTATGTGGTTCTTTGTTCACGGTTCAACTAGAATTGGTTCTAGGTGGATCTGAACTGGTTCCAGGGCTTAAAAAATAACCACAAAATCAAGACAAACGCAGTTCGAATTATGTCGTTCGCGGATCAGTAAATTACGAATTTTTAATTCCAGTTTTTTGTTCGGAATTAAACTATAATAGAATTGACTCCAGATCAATTCTGAATTGGTTCTAACAAGAAACATAAGTTATTTTGGTTCCGAAATCATTCCATCGAGGTCTGCAGATGACGTCATCACTATAAGTTGCTGATAGTGACGTCACTTGCAGGCCCAGAATTTAATAGAGTTAGGGGAGTATGACACAATTGACTAATCACCTAACCCAGCATAATAAGATTATGCTCGATTATCCTCGCCAAAAATTGCCTACCGTATACCAGACAACCTATTAACTTTAGGAACTTTGAGTTTGAACCAATTTTGATGTGACGTCATAAGTTCATCAAACCAGTTTGGATAAAGTTTCAAGAAAGTAAACGCGAGAAAACAGCTCATAAAACGTTGACATAAAACTGTGTTCAAACCTTCCATGCCTTCGCATTCACCAGTGATGACATCATCTACAAATTGGTTTAAACCGTAGTTTGAATCATTCGCCCCGCGAAAAAACGCATTTGATTGATAGAATTTTACTTTAAAAATGACAAGTGACTTAACTAAAATAGAATTCTATTTATCGGTGCAGGTGCCTGCATTACCGACGGATTTTGTAGGTTATGTTTGCGTACTTTACAGGGGAGATTTCGTTCCAAACGAAATTTTTTACTCAAATTCTGTTTATTGTTGCCTCTCTGGAACACTATTTCTGGATCCAGTGTAGGTTTTTTTTATGTTCGAAACTAATCGGGCAACGTTAACAGTTACTCCATTTGGTCTGAGATTCTCGTTTTAGTGCACTAAATTCAACTCTGTTTACTCGTACTACTGTTCTAGAGCAAATAGAGTAGGTTTATTCATTAAAAAGTAATATTTATTTCCCTCTTTATACTCAAACATGAACATAGTTACTCTATTTGCCATATTTGGAGTGCTCTGAGTAAGCAAATCGTTCAAGATTTTATTTTTTTACTCCTTTAAAGTAAATAGAGTAAGTTCGAATATTAAAGAGTAAAAAGGCAAACGAGTTCGGAACAGGTTTTTGGGTTTAAGAACAAATAAAACCGATTCTAGTTGCACCGCGAGCAATGATCTGGAACACAAATTAAAGATTGCTCCATTGTGAACCAGTTCAAAACTTGAAAATCTATCCGGAACCAGTTTTATTTGAATTACGAACAATCAATGTACTCCAATAGAATTCAGTTCATTTTATTTCGAATTCGGAACAGCAATTGTAGCAGTCGGAGCTCTAAAAATCAATTCTAAAATGATCTGGAACCGGTTCTAAATGAATTGTTAATGTGATCCAGGACGCTAATTTAGGATTTTCGTGCACCGTATGCGTTTAATAATAATTTAGTTCTTAATTTTTTTTAGTTCGGAACAACAATCGAACTACTCGGAACGGAACTCTGATAACCGGTTCAAAAATTATCTGGAACCGGTTCTAAATGAACTGCGAACAATTCAATGTGTTCGGAACAACGCAACTAATTCGGAACAGGTCTTTAGAGCACAAAGAAACGTTTTGGAACTGATTTTAGTTGAATTTTAAATAGTTTGGAACTGGTTCTAATTGAATTACGAACAAAAAATGAAATAAGTTCAATGTGTTCTAGAACGGGATTTTTTTTAAATTGTGATCTAGTTCAGGGTTTCATTTGACAGTAAACGAGTTCGGAACAGTTTTTTGGAACAATTTTTAGAACAGATTATGTTTACTTAAATGTTTTTAAAACTGGTTTGAAAAAGTGTCACATGACGTCATTACTTCTCGGCTCGAGAATATAGTTTTAAAACGTGGATTGTATTGTATTTCGAAACGGTTTGAACAAGTTTGATGTGACGTCATAGGTTTTTAGTTCAAGTTCTTTGTTCGCGATTTAGCTAGAATTGGTTCTAAACTGATTTAATCAGCTCCGGGGCTTTGAAAATAACGACACATCTAAACATGCGCAAGTGTATCTGTTCCGAAATCGATTGCAGTGGAATTAAATCGTGATCTGGTTCCGGAGTAGGTTCGGAATGTAATTCGTGAACACAGCCAGGTTCGCAGTTCTTCAGCTAGAATCAGTGCAAGATCGATTTTGAAATTCTAACAATCCATTTAAGAAAAAGAGCATAAGTTTAAGGCATGCGCAGTTTTACTTTTTCTGAAATCCTGGACTAGTTCCGGAGTAGGTTTGGAATGTGATCCTTGAATGAAACTGAGGTTTTGCTTGCGATAAGAATATAGGAGTACTCAGGACTGATTCGCAATTATTCCCATGCGCATTTCAAATCAAAGAGATGACGTCATCAGGAGGACCCTATGAAGATTTGAATAGAATATATATTGTATAGGTCACTGCATTCCAGATATTTTTATTCGTGGTTCAGCTAGAATCGGTTCCAGATCGACTTTGAACTGGTTCTACAGGTTTCAAGCATTACACCTGGGCGGGGATCACGACGAATAGAATTCTACTTTCAAGACGTCAGGTTGCCTAGCAACCATCATCATCGCCTCTACTCTACGCGATAAATAGTACGCGAGTGACGTCATGAAAGTAGAATTCTACTCGTCGTGATCCCAGCCCAGAACCCAAGGTGAATTGATTCTACCGGTTCCACGGAGTCAACAAGAACCATAAGTTATTTCGGTTTCGAAATCGTGTGCATTAAAATAAAATTCTGAACTTGTTCCGGAGTAGGCTCGAAATGTGATCTGTGAACAAAGCTTCGTTACTCTATTCACAACGAACCATGTTCGAGATCGACATGCGCAGTTTAGAAATAGCGCTCTGGGTGTGAGAGTGACTCTAGAGTAGTTTTGAACCGTTCATAAATTAACAGGTCCTAACTCGGAGCGGTACGCTGAAATCATTCAGAAATTAAGAGTTGACGTGTTCAGAGTGCACCCAAATTACCCCATTCAGGGACTGGGTTAAAAAACGCACCGCTGTTTTTATCGGGTTTGACGTTGACATTTAGGGCAACACTCCAATTACGTTCAGAAAAGACGCACCCAGAGTGCACTCCAAGTGATGACGTCAGAACACTCCGTCAAACAACTACTCTACCTTCACACTACATTTCTAAACGCACTCCAGTGTTCTCGTTTGCTGTTCCAAAATTAACCGCAGTAAAATTAAATCATAAAATGTGTTCCAAGCAGAATCCTACAGTGGTTAACCTCATTCAGAATTAAATCCGTCCACCAAGACAAATTCCCGGCAAATTTCAAATTGGTTATTGACAAGTGAAATTCAGTACTTTGTTCAAGTGTCAACGTCTGTTACTATTTTAGACGAGCTTATTCTCGTGTTCACTTCTTTGAAACTGGTTCAAAACAGGTGCGAAAAAGTATGACGTCACATCAAAATTGGTTCAAACCGTTTCGAAATACATTCCAATCCACGTTTTAAAACCATTCTCTCGCGCCGAGAAGTTATGACGTCATGTGACACTGTTTTAAACCAAGGATAATAAACACTACTATTAAAGGATATCTTATCCTCAAAAGGCCTGTGTTGAACGAAGCCGATAAATAATCTTTAGTAGTGGGTATTATCCTTGCTTGAAAAACGTTTTTAAACATTTGAGAGAAAACACCTCAAGGTTGCCTGATAACTTTTATAACGTCATCCGGGATGCCTAAACAATAAACGTAATGCAAATTTCCATTTGATTATCTTGATGACGTCATCAGATGACCATTACCAGGAACCTCAATTTCAGAACAAGAGCACTCAACCAAATAGGCTGAAAGTGTCTGCCACGATTCTGCCATGTCCACGCAGTGAAGTCCACACAACTATCCACTATTTGTGACGTCAACAGCAGACCTTTTCTACATTCAAAATGAACGAACAAAATTAACTCACAAGCACCGCAATCCGTCACCACTATCAGTTGTCAATAGTGGTAAAGGTGACGTCACCCGCAGACCAGCTGTCACTCGACAACTGACGTACGTAAGCCTTATAGGGTTTAGCAATCCTATTTGGTTAAGTATTCTTGATTTCAAACAGTTTACAAAAGTAATTTCGAACTAGAAATTACCATCTGAGAAGCTCAAACCTCATACATATATAAATATAGACCGCTCAAGAATTTCTCTGACATCTGTCAATTTGCAAGGATTTTGACAGATTTATTCATTATTGAGTAACTACCATGTCACCAGTGTCACCTGTGAGATGTATGGCAGGACATTTGATAAAAATCACTAAAATATAATGTGAAATACTCTAAATGTAACTGAAAATCCGCTTGTGGAATCTCGCTTCATGTGAACCGGCAAAAATTATGTCGATATTACGCACCCGCAACACGATTTTCCGCTCCATGAGAACTAGGCTTAAGGCACCCCAGATGTGTCATCACTTACCCATTACCAGACAACCTATTATGCCAAGTTCACGCGACAACTTCACTATTTGTGACGTCAGCCGCAGACCTTAACTCTTGGCGAAAACTGCATTATCCGAGTTTAAAACACTAGAACCGTATTCCCGCGTCCACTTTTTTCAGAACAGGTTTGAAACGGGCAATAGTAAAACCATTGCCCGTTTCAAAACTCATTTTTGCTGATAGTGGTAGTGATGACGTCACCCGCAGACCTGCTGCCGACTTGATAGCTGGCAAACGTACACCTTATTAGAAGTTGAGCAATCCTATTTGGTTAAGTATTCTTGATAAAGACAATTTACAATAGTAATAATTTCGAATTTGAAACTATCATTTGGAGCATGAAATCTCATACAGCATTCAAGAATTTCTCTGAAATTTGTCAAAATAGTGTTTGTTCTGTGGACAAGTCAATTTGCACTTGGATGATACAATTTGCATGGATTTTGACAGAATTATTGATAAAGAGTAACTAATTAGAACGTTGCATTTGCAATGAAATAATTGAAGATTGTGTTCCTACTAACGCATAACTTCTCTAGAGTGACTCAATAAACATGAATAACAAAATTTGATCATTATTTACATTGACTGAAAGAAAAAGCACTAAACTTGGCAACGTGGCAAATCGAGCCCCAAGGGATCCCTAGAGCAGGGGGAAAACTGTGGTTTGCGCTTTATGACGTCAACGAGGCGCCTAAAGTGGGCGGAAAGCCAAATAACTGCAGGCATTAAAGGGCTTGAACTTATTTCGAGACAAATTGACTCGAGAGATTCTTTTGAGAGGGGGTTGATTTGTGCTTTGAACTATAAGGAAAGAATCACACTTACCTTTATAGAGAGTTGTCAGTGAAGTAGAAGAGATGAAATCATCTGTAAAAAAATAAATAAATATTTTAAATTACATTATAACTATATGGTGTTATACTAAAATCCAAAGATCAATAGACTCATTCAAGGATTTCATCAAATTATTATTATGTTGGTTTCACCTCTATGAAAAAATTTGCCTTGGGGTGTGGTAATGGGTAAACGACTGTTCGTTGCGACGCCTGATATCGACCCATTTCCGCGTGGCGTCCGACTTGAACTTGGGGCTTTATGAAACTGGATAAATTTTAGGGAGAAAGTCCACATTAACTGGATATCCGCCTAATGGAGTTATTATTGCTCCTTTGTTGGTATATGGTGGAAATGGCAAATTGTAGGATTATTTTTGGGTCTTTTGAAGTTTCTTTTTTGTAAAATGAACATAAATTTTCAAGTAGATAGTTTTAGAACCATTTGTCACCATTTCCGACGTCATTAACAAGTCGTCATAGATTTAGAAGGGGTTTCCAATTAGGTGAATGCTTGCTCGAAAATCAATCCCCTGACGTCATTATTTGAACTGCACTTGAAGAATAGTTCCCTAATGCTCATCCATGCTTTCAAATATAAGAAATTGTCCTTGTCGATTCACAAATAATGCCCCCATTCTCTTGTAGACTTATAACTTTGGCGCCAGGAAGAAAAAGGCTCAAAAAGGGATAAGGTTTTGTTTGCTAAGTAATAAAATATGCCGGAATTACGTGATGAAAATGGGGGTCACTGACTTAGAGAAGGACGAGATTTGGATAATAGAAACTGCGAAATAGGACATTTTTTGTCTATTCCAGGCTCTAGGATATTCTTTATTGTTTTATTTAGGCCCGGTTTATTCATCTTCAGATTCAGATAAGCTTTCTGGTAACTATCGTTCTATAAAGGTCGATTCACACATAGCAGTGACGTGACAGTGATTTTACCGGCAGGTGTGATTTCTATTCATATTGGTCAGTGTTTCATCAGTGCCTTGTCAGTATGATTTTTAGCCAAATGGAAATATTTTTTTGCACATCGTACTGGTTTTGGACAAAGACATGGAAGAGCAAGTAGAAGGAACGACACTGATACGTCATTACTGGTACTTTGGCATGGTGTGGGGCTTGAGATTTGAACTACACAGGCCTTATGAGAATAAGCTATTCTGTGAAGTGTATAATATCCTTGCTTTTGAATAACCTTGATCCAAACCACATATCCGAGGATTCGATATGGCAGCAATTGTCAATCATCTTTGATATGTTTATTTAATCCTGGATTTTCTGCTAATGGAAAACATGACGTCATCTAGGGTGGTAAAACAAAAGGTTAAATATCCTGGGGTTAATGGAATAAATGTACAAATATCATTGGACATTGAATTCTGGGCCCTGGCATTTGTGGTTTGGATCCAAAGATGTTTGGATCAAGGTTATTTGGAAAAGGTAGGTTACCTGTAAAGTTCCTAAATAGGTTGTCTGGTAATGGGTAACTTGATGACAAATGTAGGGTGCCTTATGGAGACTTGTGTTATGTTGAGGCATCATCTTACAGCAGATAGTTACCAGTAAGTTTATCTCAAGAAGAATAAACTGGGCCTCTAAATAAAACAACTACAAAGAAAATTCAAGAAATTTGCATTATGTTTAGGCATACGAATGACGTCATAAAGTTATCAAGCAACTCAGGTAATCTACGTCTCTCAAACAACCTTGGGTTGCCTGATAACTTTTATGACGTCATTCGTATGCCTAAACATAATGCAAATTTGAACTTGAATTTTCTTTATTGTTGTTTTATTTAGAGGCCTGATTTACTCTTTTTCAGATAAACTTGCTGGTAACTATTTGTAAGATAAATTCACTGTTCTATAATTCTATTGGTCGGCGGATAATTGGCTGACCAACGGGATTACAGATTGCGTTTTTATCCATCAGATTGTATATCTGATAGTGAATGAATAAACCGGCCCTTAGATAGAGAAGATTCAAGAACCTGGAATAACCAAAAATAGAGACAAAAAATGGGAATGAAGGGCCAAAAAAGAAAACTGGAAAAATCAGATTAAAACGTAAGTTGAATATCTTTGGGTTGATGGGTTGAATGAATAAGCATCACAAATGCTAAACCTTTGCCGCCATATTAAATTCTGGCATGGTTTGGGATCAAGGTTCCTAAAGTTCATAGGTTGTCTGGATTTGGATGATCCTTGATTTTTTAGAAAAGGTAGGTAGTAGTCAAGGATAATGAACTACTACAGGATAGTCTATCCCAATGATAAGGCCTATGTGGAACAAATCTGAAGCCCCCCACCGCGTCAAATCACCAATTGTGACGTAAGCAGCATGTCCTTTCTCGTCCTGGCGTAGGCTGTTTGCACCACAGGTTATGATTCCGCGGGCACAATAGGGAATTTTTATATTTCTCAATTTATGCAATAAGCCGACAAATGTGATGCCAGATTTTGAAAAAAATTAAGATTTTTTTAAAACATTCAGGAACATCAACCTCAAAACCATCTGTCATTGTCATTTAAAATAGAATTCTGATGTCAAAACGATGTCACTCAGATAGAAATCGATCAACAAATTCAGGATATTGATGATAATTTGACAAAAGTGACAAGTGATAATACATAATATTTTATAAAAATTTATTTTCCCAATTTCCCAACGTTGTTTGAAAGAAGTAGGTTGCCTGATAACTTTTATGAATCCATCTACATGCCTACGCATGATGCAAATTTTTATAGGAACCACCAGATGACGTCATTTGTTTGCCATTACCAGACGTTAATAGACAACCTATAACAAGCAATTAACATATTTTCAATGATAACTTTGTTCAAGGGAAAGTCTCGATTGAATCCCAATGGCGCTATCTCCTTTTCTCACATTGCTGACTGTTTCTCTCTCTTGATTGGCATAACTCGACTGGAGCCGACTGTATCCGACCGAACGAGCGTTAACAATTCTGGCGTGACGGTTCAATCTCATTCAGTTTTACTTCTCAGAAAAATGTTTGTGATGAACGCACCTAATAAATGTTTCACTTAGGGCGGGTATTATAAAACTGCTTTGACAGTTTACTTGAAGTCAAGCCCTAAGGGCGGGTATTATAAAGCTACTTTGAGAGTTAACTTAAAGTTAACTTCTGGAATTACATGTAATTCAAAAAGTTAACTTCAAGTTAACTGTCAAAGCAGTTTTATAATACCCGCCCTTAAAACTACTTATTTTCCTGACAAGTGCGCCAAGTAGTACTTTCCCGTCAAGTCCGAATTGTTAACGCTCATCAAGTTGGATACACGAGTTCAGCCAAGTGAGAAAGGAACAGTTAGCAGTGCGAGAAAGAGAGATAGCGCGATTGAGATTCAATCGAGTATCCCCTACCCCTAAAACAATGTTAATTGCTTGTGCTTTTATTAGGTTGTCTGTTAATGATAAACAGATGACGTCATCAGATATTTCTTATGGAGATTTGCATTATGTTTAGGCATACATATGAGGTTATAGAAGTTATCAGGCAAGCAACCTCTTTTAAACCAAGGATATTAAATACCGACTTCTAGTACTACAGAATTGCTTATAGGCCTCGATTTTTGGAATCAAGGTCATATGGTGTTGCACCGTTGCCGACACATCAACGATGTTGTTAGCTGTTGGCGCCAGCGGTCGTAAATTAGAAAATAGACACTTTAAGGGCGGGTATTATAAAACTACTTTGAGAGTTAACTTAAAGTTAACTTCTGAAATTACATGTAATTCAAAAAGTTAACTTCAAGTTAACTGTCAAAGCAGTTTTATAATACCCACCCTAAGCTAGACAAAATACGTTAACGCTAACGTAGAATTTGACAGGTGCGTTCCGTTCCTCTTTCCACCAAAAATAGCGTGTTACGTATCATGTTTAGCGTATCTTTGCACGCAACTTATCTGTAAACATTCGTAAACCGAGTGGGCCCGAAAGCCAGATTGCCGGTGTCGACCATTACAGAATGTATTTTAACCTTGAGAAAAATTGACATGTAAAATACAAGAAATAATTTTTAATTTGTCCTTTCCACAACAAAATTTACAGGTCTTTAGGTCAATGATAAGAGACAAAAATATAATAACACGTGTATCAATGCTATAAGCCAGAATAAATGATTACAGGGCTGGAATCACGACAAGTAGAATTCTACTGTCATGACGTTACTTTGCCTAGCAACCGTCATCATCGCCTGTAAGGTGTGCCTGTACTCTACGGGTGACGTCATGAAAGTGGATTTCTACTTGTCGTGATCCCAGCCCTGGATACAATTTACTTGCCACGCGACGATACAAAATTTCGATTGTTTGAGAAAGGTGGGTTGCAGTCATCTGTATGCCTAAACATGATGCAAATTGCCATAAGGCACTCCAGATGCGTCATCAGGTACCCATTAACCAAGTAATCTGTTACCTTTAGGAATCTTGCAATTTTTTGATATTTTGTCACTTGTATTTGTCATTGTCTCCTTAGCCCGAGGGCCTCAAGAACTAAACTACACAGGCCTAATGAGGATAGGCTATCCAGTAGTAGAAGTGTGTATTATCATTAGTAATAAGGTTGTCTGGTAACAAGGTTTCTGTCTGATAATGGCAAACAGATGACGTCATTTGGTGGTTCTTATGGAAATTTGCATCATGTTCAGGTATACAGATGACGTCATAAAAGTTATCAGGTAACTCGAGGATGATATACACAGGATTGCTTATCGGTCCCGTTTTTAGTAATCGCCGCCATATTGGTGTGTTACCATTTTCAACATCATAACTAAATCGTCAGCTGTTTAAACAGCCTACGTCAAGGCAACAAATAACATGCTGCCTACGTCACAACTGGTGATTTTGCATCGGGGGAAGGCGGTATTTGTTACAAACAGGCCTTATGAGGATAAGCCATTCTGTAATAGTAGTGTATATCATCCTTGGGTCGAAATGGCGTTTTTTTTTTTTAAATTACGAACCCGAAGGACGAGTTTTCAATCTTGAGCGTAAAGGGCA